GAGGGGGGGGGGAGGCGAAGACGCGAGGCGCGATTTACGAATGCCGCGGGTTCGCTCCTGCGGAATTTCACCTCCCGCCGAAGGACGACCTGGGTGAACTCGCGGGCACGCTGAAACGCACGGCGCCGTGGCGGCACGTGGCGCGTCGTCGCATGTCCTCGCAGCTCGCTCCTGCGCTCGCTCGGCACCTAACGCGTGGCGGCGGCGGCAGCGGGAACGCGTGCACCAGCGGCCGGCGTTCGGGCGCTCCGCGTCGCGACTGCCGGCGCGCGGCGCGGCTAAAAAACCATACGATGACCTCATCCGCGCCGGCGGTGCTCTCCTCCTGCCCATGTCACTGCCGCTACTAACCGTCCTGAAAACGTCGCCGTCGGCGCCGACGCCGCCGCCTTCCGCAGCTCGCCGCGCCGCAGATACCGCTTATCTACGCGGGCGAGCGCGCGGGAGAGGCGCGGAATGCGCCGCGCTCCAGTCAAGTTTTGAAATCGAAGATCCCTCCCGCGTAAATCAATTTCTTCAAGATTCGCCGTGAGGTAACTCGATCGCAAATTGCGAAAAGAATCGCCCGCTGGACGTGTCTCTTAACAAAATTTGCGAAATTCAGATTACAGCTAGGAAAAAGTTTGTTGGAATTTTGACCGTACTAGACGTTCATTTAATTTCAAAGAAATGGCTTCTTCACCTTAAACGAAATTTTATTTGAATGAGACTGGAATTTCTAATAACGAATTCGATAGCTTGCACTAGTGCGCACTGAATGCGCACTAAGGTCAGTTTATAGTTAATTTTTATATTTAACTTTGCCTTGAATACATGCTCAAAGAGTATTTAGTCAAAAAATGATCCGTATGGATGGTATACAGATCATTTTGCTGACTGCAAAATATTTCAAGAGATATTTAAGGCAATACCTTAACATAAAAATTGACTGTAAACGGGCCCTAGTGTGCATTTTTTTTGGGTATAAAAGCTCTTTAGAATGCATTTTTTTGCACGTCTTTAATGTTACTGGAGAAGACCGGAAGTTTATTTTATTCAATAAACAATTCTTGAGTCAAATTAATTACCAATATAATCATGAGTTATTCTAAAAATTCACTAATTTCTGTTATCAACGTCGTCGCTGTCGTCGAGCGGATTTGATTTTCTGCAACGCGTCGTCATTGTTATCGCAATTAATGTATAAGAGAAAAATGTCTCAATATTAATTAACGTCGGGCAACGAAGAAAAGCGTGCGACAAGTGCCGCGTTTCGTTGCGGAATCGAACTTTTCACGGCGTGTATAGGCGTTACACAGCGATTTGTTCTCTTTACCATAGGTAGGTGACCGGTATTTCTCCGTTACCATCCGCAGTTGGTAACTAACTGCTTTTCGTTCCGGTGGTAACAAGTAATACGCCATCGAGATTTGAGATCTATTCTTTGCAGCTACACTACGTTATACTATGTGCACTTGAAATGAAAGAGATGCACAATTAGAGATTAGGAGAAAGAGAAGGAGAAAAAATGGAGAGTAGAAAAAGTTCAGCTGCAGATTGGCAGCTGTGAGCCAAACATGAGGAGGCTCGCGGTCCTCGCGGTGGAGGGAGGCGCGTAGCTGCGTGGGACGTGCTAGAGAACACGTGTAACACGTTCATCAGGGACATTGCTTCAGTGCGAATTTCAAGTATTGGTCTAGTGTTTAATTGCAAAGTTCTCTCTTTTTCTTGAACCACTTGAACGGACGAACGATCAAGACGTCGGAATATCGAGTCGTTTTGGTAGTATTTTTGGTTAATTGTCAATCGAGTGAGAACGCATTGTTGCGGAGTAAAAACACTGAATAAGCCTGGAGAGTGAAAAGAAGAAGAGAATTGTGCCGCGTGTTTGGATATTTCCGTGGGGGACGAGAGTACGAACGGACTTTGTTGACAAAAGATCGTCGACTGAATATGGCTTCAAACAATTCAGTCGGTTCGGACAACGCCCTTGACGGCCTTGACGCGAGCGTTCGAGTGAAGATAGAACCCGGCGCGTTCGTGTCGGAACCGTCTACGTCGTCGGAGCCATTCATGGAGAGAGTGACGAGCATCAAGGTGGAGCCAGGCTTACCCACCACCACGCAGAGGCTGACATCCTTCCGGATACCACGAGACCTGACACTAGGTGGAAACATCAAGATTGAAAAGCCGAAGAAGGTGTACACGCCAAACCTCAATGTGCAGAGGAACAAGAAGAAGGAGTAAGCTATTCAATTTACCTGCAACATGGCCTAGACGCTAAAGACAACTTTATTTCAGCGAGCCGGTAATTGCGGTCAAGACTGATCCGGCGAGATCGAAAAACAATCGTGGAAGGGAACGAGGGAGGGGAGACAGAGGACGTGGAAGAGGAAGCAAAGGGAATATAATAGAAGTAAGCCCCAGTTTACAATAATTTTAAGTACTAAGCTCTAAGAAATCGATCGAGTATTCTCTTCATTTTTTACTGTGATTAGTCAATTTCTTAGGACTTAGGCCGTAAATCGTCTATTGTAGACTGGAACTAATGCTGCTGTCTTAATTCTTCGACACAGTCGAGACATGTTTCCATTTATCAATTGTTTATGTTATTAGTTTAATAATACTCTTAGTTCATCACTTCCGAAATGGTATAAAATCTATTGCTTTTACTCACAATCAACTTCTAATTAACCCCTTAAATCAAGGTATATAAAGTACATGGAGATATAGTGTCAACGTAGACTCCACAGTCCACTTGATGCTGCAAATGCTTCCATTCTTCTTTCTTCATTAAAAGGAAATACATTTATAATGTCATGTGGACCGCAGCCCTAATATCACGCTATGTGAATTTGAAATTAGTTTTCTTAGGGTTTATTTCAATAGCTTATTGGAAATACCAATTTTGTAATATAAATCATGCGATTGTTCTGTTTCTAGTCTGTCGGCGTGTGGTCGGAAGGAATATACACATCACCTGCTGCTCGTCGAAGGCATGATGGTCCCAGGACTTCCAGTGACACAATAAAAACTACGAAATCTTTTCTGGAGAAACCAAAGCTAGATACAAATAAGATTACTGATAATACAGAAAGGGAGAAGAGATTAAAGCACCTGTTAACAAATGATTTCGTCGACGATTGCTTCGATGCTGATAACAAAATGTATCCTCTTACACTGCCACGAGTTAAAAAGGAAACAAACGATACGATTGACGATGACGACACCCATACGAAACCAGTAATTGCAATAAATGGTGAAGGTAATTGTAAAATATTGGTTTTTTTTTATAGTAATTTTATCGAATTTGTACACATATTTCTTTCCTTTTAGTCGAAAATATAAAAAAGGAAAGGAAACAAGACAAAAAGAAAGAAACCATCATTTCTCAGATAGTTGAAAACTCAGCTAATTCCTATACGTTAATACAGGTAAGAATGCCGTGTAATCTATTGCAACTATTATTTACTTTAATGATTGATTAATAGTTTCCAGAATCTTTACCTGGTCTGGTATCCAGTAGAGACGAAGCACTATCGAAACCAAGCGATACAAAAACGCATTACGAAAGTGGCAGTGAAGCAAAACTTGAGCCTTACAATTTAGACAATTTAAGAAGTGGTCTCTTAGGCAAACTCGAGATTTTCAAGTCTGGTAGAGCGAGATTACGTCTCGGCGAGATGAGCTTTTTTGTCGACATTGGATCGCAGCAACATTTTCAACAGGTATACAATTGCATTTTTATATAATTTGTAATTTAAGCAACACAACACTATCGCAATTCTTCAAGTAATTAATTACTTTTCAGGACCTTTTAGCCGTAAAAGTAGACACTACATCACAAACCGGTGATCTTATCAATCTTGGCCCGGTAAACAATAAAATAATTTGTTCACCAGACTTTGAATCTATGTTGGATCGTTCGTAAGACTGGAAATATGTATTCATATATATATATTGTTTTTAATGTTTGTATAAAAGGATGTTGAGTTGCAGGAAATGTATGAGCAATACATAACGCTATTTGTATAATTCTTAATACTTCTATATTTTTTTTAATACTAGCGAATTACGTAATTTTATTAAATAAATTATATTGCGTATCTGCAAATTCGGTATGGCGATTCTGATGTCTAGGAGAAATTAGGAGTCACTGTAAAATAGAAACGATCATGTCATTCGGGAACACATAGTTTTTGCAAAAAGGGTTTTCGATTGCTCTTCGACTTGTACAACTTGCTGTAACATTATCATTCAAATATACTATTTATTATTTTCTAAACACTGCAATGAAAACTAAGCTTTATACAAATTAATTTGAATAAATCGCTGTGTATACGAGTCCTAATTTCACTTGAACTTACTTAGGAACTAAAGTCTGAAAAAAATGGTGTATTTTTTGTCAAATTCTTCAAATCATGTAAAATCTTTACATTATATCAGCATACAAGATTATACGTATCACTAAATATACTCTGCATGAACTGTTTAAGTCTAATCTACAATGTGGTGTCGCACCTAAAAACATCCTATTTTATATATGTAAATCAAAACGCTTAAAAAATTTGTCGACATTGTACGATTGCAAAATGTGTAATAAGCAATTTATCAATTTATATAAATTTTTTAAGCGTATTTTTATCGACTACAAAATAGGATGTTTTTCTAAATGCAAACAATACATTGTAGATTAGACTTTACTGATACAAGAAACTGAATCTCATTACGCAATTCTAACCAATTTAATGAAGAGGATATTTTCTTCAATTTTATGTGAAAACTTTTACTTCGCGATATGAATACCGTTTAATCTTGTACCGAAGGGATTGAGTGATAAAAAATGATAATCCAATTATTGATAAGAAACGGAAGTTATTCATATTCATAATACAATTAGAATGTTATCGCTTCGCGATACAGAGATATACGTATGACACATTTTCAAGGATCACACGTTGTTAGTCTCAATCACTTCGTTCAATGCTATGTCCCTTTTTCATAGATTTTAATGCCTTTTCCCGAAGTTTCTTTTCCAGTTCTTCCGTATTACCTTCACTTACATCAGATTCATCTGAATCCGCGACCTTCTTCTTCTTGTGCTTTCTGTGCTTCTTATGTTTCTTGTGCTTCTTGTGTTTCTTCTCCTTCTTTTTCTTCTTTTCTTCAACTTCGCTTTCCTGGAAAGGAAAAACTCAGTCAACGAACATTTAGAGAAAATTAATTTATTGTTTGCAAAAAGATATGTTACCTCTGATTCGCTGGTACTGGTTTTCGCCTTTTTCTTACGCTTCTTTTTCACCTTTTCGTCGTCCGAGCTATCGTCAACTTTCTTTTTCTTCTTTGAATCTTTATCTCCAAGATCGTCGTCTTCTGAGCTTGAGTCTCGTTTAGATTTCTTTGATTTTGATTTGACTTCATCTTCACTTGTTGAATCTTTTCTAGACTTTCGCGATCTAGTCTTCTCATCGTCTGATGAAGTCTCTCTCCTCTTTTTCACTTTTTTCGGTTCTTCGTCGGAACTAGAGTCTTTCTTCGATTTTCGGGATCTTGATCTATCGTCTTCATTTCTACCTCTTTTAGATTTCTGCTCTTCTTCACCCGATGAAGAGTCTCTTCGCGATCTTTTTGATTTTTTCAATTCTTCCTCTATGTCCTTTCTTGAACGCTTTCGCGAATCATTTTCAGCAACTTCGCGTTTTCTACTGTCTTTTCTATCTTTATTACGATCATCGATTGAATCTATAATAAAATAGAAAAATTATATATAAATTGTATTATATATTTTATCAAAATGTGTAATTTATTATATTTATCATTATTTAGGAAGAATTTACCGATTCGGCCAGTATCTCTAGCTTTTTTGCTTTTATCTGAATGCTTTCTGTCATCCTCAGAATCCGAGCTCGATCCAGCTTTGCTCTTGTCAGATTTATCTTCATCCGTGGAGGTTTTCTTAGACTTCTTCGATTTGTCCATCTTTCTCACTTTTCTCTTGCCTGTAAAATAAATAGAAAAGAAAGGAAACATTAATATCTATTATAACTAATTATAACTAATTATTGAAATTATTAAACTATCTTTTACCTTCACCATCACTATCGTCACTATCTGTAGAACCATCACGCTTTTCTCTCTTTGTCTTTTTAGCTACTTCTACAGGTTTCTTAGATAAAGGTTCCAACGGCTTTTGAGTGGACTTTTTATCTTCCGTTACTAATTTCGTCGTTTTCAAAGATTTCTCCTCTTTCTTTAGAGGAAAAGCGTCTCCAGCGGTAAAATTCATATCTCCAATCTTCATTGGTGATTCGTCTTTAGTGTCTTCTCTGTAAGTAAAATATACACAATCGTAGTAACTAGAATATTATTCATTACACAAATATGTTCTTACATACTTAATCGTCTGTTTAATTTTGACTGCTACTGCCACGATGTCTTCGGTCTTCTTAAACGGGGAGGGTGTGCGCGACAAACTCTTGGAGAACTTGAAAGTAAAGAAAAGGTAACTTTTATAAAAGGATTCGTAACAACGTGCACCTTATATGAACAAAGTATATTGTAGATCTCTCTCTCTCTTATAAATATATTATAAAATTGAATTTCTCTATTAATGTATAGGATAATCAAAATGGACAACTTACTCTATGTCTGGTAATAGGGAGTGAAGCAGCTTGAAGTTTCTTGGGGGACACACTGGGCTCGGGCTTTTTCGCAGCAACAGGTTCTATCTTCTTAACTTCCTTCTCCGGTCTCTTGGCAGGTTCTTCTTTCACCGGTTTCTCTTTCTCCTTCTCTTTCTTCTTGGCATCATCCGCATGCTCGCGTTCTTTTTCTCGCTTCTCCTGCGGCGTTTTGCGCTCGATTGATTTTCTGTAGACACAGTGTTAAGCGCGTTTTCTCCGTGAAACGTTTTTCGACAAATACGCGTACACAAATACACCACGAGTATCCATCGATTATTATCCACCGATCGCTCCATGAAAGTATCATGTTCAAAGTGAAAATTTCACTCACCTAAGTAACTCGTCCTCATTGCTAGAGGAACTACTCTCGCTACTTTCCGAGCTACTCGACTTAGACCGGCCGTTTCGCAATTCTTTTCGCGATCCTGTATCAGGCGGTCTTTTAGCTTTCTCATCCACTTTCCTGTCCTTTGTCTTATCCTTGGTACCCTTCGAACGATCGGGAGACCGCTTCCCATCTCTCGCACCATCCACCGGTGACCTCTGATCCTTGGATCTCGATCTACGATCCTTCGATCGAGATCGACGATCCTTATCCCGTCGTTCTCTGGAGCGATCCCGCCTACTCGATCTGTCGCGCGAGGAAGATCTATCGTACCTGCTCGATCGATCCCGTCCGTCCGGTGAACGCCGGCTCCCACGTCGATCGGGCGAACGGCGCCTGTCACGTCTCTCCGACGACCGTCTTCGATGATCCAGCGATCTCCTGCGACGCCTGTCCTCGGGGCTCGGTGACCTACGACGATATCTCGCCGGACTTCTGCGTGGGGGACTGCTACAATAATTTATTATGCACACAATGCAAGGGAAAAAGGTACATTCGGTATACAAAAGAACACCAACCTGCGCCTATTAGGCGGCCTGCGCACCGAAGGTGGTCGCATGCTGCGGCTGCCGCTGTATCGGTCCAATCTCTCCCTTTCCCTCTCCCTTTCGCGTTCTCGCCTCCTATCGCGATCCCGGTCCAACGATCTCCTAAAAAAAGAAAGAAGAGACCTCGAGAATTCACGCAAACCGTCAACTTTCTCATTAAACGTTTTGTGGTACAGAAAGATTAGATATCGCGGACAACATTATTGCATTGTAACATTTGCTGTGCTTAATTTGGCGCGATACAACCGTGCCTCTTGATATTACAAGGAAAGTTGTGTGTAATACACCTTTTAAATAGCATTTTATAATTAAAGATGAAATCTATTAGCAAAAATTTGTAAATCTCACCTTCGGTTCCTATCTCGCGATCTCTCGCGTGATCTATCTCGCGATCTATCTTGCGATCTATCTCGCGACCGGTCTCGCGATCTGTTTCTGTCTCTATCCTTGGATCGACCTCTATCCTTACGCGGCGAAGGACTTCTTCGCTTAGGCGCCGACTTTCTCTCCCGGCTAGAGTCGCTGTCACTGCCGCTGTCATCTTTGTTGGTCTTCCTATAGGATCTCTTAGCCTGGACGCCATCCTTCTTCTTCCGTATCTCAAAGTCGTTCTTATCCTTCGCATCTTTCTCCTCCTCGGATCCCGAGCTGCTGCTCGTACTACCGTTGCGCTTTCTATTGGAATCTCCATTGTCCTTCTGTTTCTCCGGTGACTTCGAGCGGGACTTGGACGATCTCGAGTCGCTCGAGTTGGATCTTGATTTTCTCGACTTGCTCCTATCCTCGCTCTTAGATCGTGACTTCTTGGATCGCGATCGCGATCGCGACTTGGATTTACTCCGCTTCGACTTGGTACGCTCCTGCGAGCGCGACTTTGATCGCCTGGACTTGGATCGGGATCTCCTAGATCGCGACTTGGACCGAGATCGTCTCGACTTGGAGGCGGGCGATCGCGAACGACGTATCTTCGAGTCCCGGCTGGGTGACTTCGTTCTAGATTTCTTGGAACGACTCGTCGGCGATTTAGACCCAGATCGCGATTTCCTCGCAGATTTGTCCATGGATTCCGGCGACGGCGTGCGATTGTTCTTCTTCTTCCCATCAGCAATGCTCATCAACTTTGCTTGTAATCTTGATATCGCGACGGCGGCTTCCCTGCGAATACACAAATTTAAATCGTATTTATTAAGTGTATTTCAGTAATGAACAAATACGATTTAGTTTACTTACGGCTTGGTTTTCACTGGCATCAGAGGTATAGCATTTTCCGGTTGCGGCGAATCTTCTCGTTCGACCTTAACGTCAAGCATATCTTTCCCGTTATCCTTGGAATTTTTACTCGGCGATCTCGAGACGGATCTTCTCTTACGACTCGATCGATCACGATCTCTGTGTCGATCCCGTGATCGACTCCTTTTGCTCCTAAATAAAATAATGTAAGATAAGTAACGTGATGTGTGACCACGTTTTTTAAGTTTCATTTTTTTATGATAATACCTGTCTCTATCACGATCCCTACTTCGATCCCTTCTACGCTCCTTGGACGAGCCTCTATCTTTTTCTTCCTTCTTCACTTTACTATCAGCGTCATCCTTTTCTTTTTCACGCTCCTTTTCTTTCTCCTTCTCCGCCAACGATGCTTGAAGCTTCTCTTGCTCCTCCTAATTTGATATATTACAACATAATATAAACCACTGTTGCTTACAAAATATCACTGCCTTAAAGCTAAATGTAACTAAGTTGAAATTGATCTCATCCATTTGGTTATATTCGACTGAACATTTCGCTGAATGTCACAATATAGTGATTCAATTGTTAATTCATTTCGAAGGGACTTCATGTAACTTGATAAAGATGTGCACTTATGCACTTTGCACACGTATAAATGTTAAATATAACCATAGTATAACTCGTAGGTCCATTCCGTCATTTGTTTCGTCTTGCATCGATCCCTTCTGCGCATCCGACATTGTTCTGGGCAGATGAATGAAAGAAAAGTTGTATGTGTGGTAGTGTGGCTTTGACGAGTACGTATATATACACATACATATACGCACACATTGCTGGATCCTGCCCAGGTGTATGGCGACATACCACGTGATCGGGACCACAAAGAGCAAAGGAGCCGACAGAGACTACGTTTCCACCGAGGGTCAGAGTCGGGCTAGAGTCGGGTCAGAATCGGGTTGGGGTTTGGTGTTTCCACCGCAAAAACGCTCACCCCAACCCGATTCTGACCCGACTCTAGCCCGACTCTGACCCTCGGTGGAAACGTAATCAGAGAGTGGACCTACTAGTTATACTATGATATAACTATCGGATACTGAAGTTTGTCACCCGAAGTCGGTGACATTGCAATAAAAGTTATTACGAAATGTCCCGTGTATAAATGTATTGAATATTTGATGGACGATAATGACATGCAATGACCTTATCAAATAGCTACATGTAACAAGTCATGCCGCATGTGCTTACGAGCCTTATTGATATTCGATCATTACACAGAGGTAAAAACTGATAATTACCAAACGCTTTTTAATCTGATCTTTTTTTTGTTGCAAGAAAGCCTCGGGAATGCCCGTAACGCTTTCCTGAGCGGAGACCAGAAGGTCCCATAATTCACCCATGAAAGAACGGGCATTCCTACCGTTCAGGAAACCTGTCAGGTTGATCTGCATTTTTCGGGGGTCGGGGAACTGTAAAATATACAACGTACAAATTTAATTCTCTGACATAGGAGTAACGAAAAGTTTCTGTGCAAACGGATTTTACAACAATTAAAATAAAAGTAACGTGTTAAATTTTGATTGGAATTTCGATAGATACAATCTATAGTCCTATTCTCGGTTACGAACTGCTTTTCCCCCTCGAAAAAGCAGATACTTATTATTCTATGTCTAAGCGTGCCTTACCACCAGTGCCGCCGACCGCACTCTCTTTCGTACCTGCATTAAATAGAGTTACATGCTGAGGAGAAAAAAGAATTAAGTTAAATGCGAGTAGCAGAAAATAGACCGATACCTCGTCACCCTTGATCGACTTTAACATTCACACCGCTAAGGTGCGTGCGCTGAAACGAGAGAGAAGCGTATGTATATATCGAACATCTGGCGAGAATGTCCGCCTGAAAATCGGAGAGATAATGTGGTATAAAAGGATCAACCTTTTCACCAACCTGTGACAGTGGCAAAGAGTCAAACCGTGTGTAGGGATACCTCCAGGCGCCGTTTTCGCCTCAATCACGCCAACGCACGACCGACAGTACGCCCGGAAGACTATCGAGGTCCTTCGCGAACTGAGTTTCGGTGGTAAGTAAGCGTCAGGTCGGCGCTCGACCACCCGCTGCTCTTGGAGTTCGACAACGGCGGTTCCAACGGAGAATCGTAGCTTGCGGCGGACGACAGTTCCGAAGATCCCATCCTATTGGACACGCCAGTGCTCCGGAAAACGATGTCGTGGTGAAGTTGAAGCTCCTTGGGTGAGCGAAAGCCTCGCACAGCTCTCGAAGTCCCACGGCTGGCGACGACAGACTACCTCGGTTGAGGCAGTCACGCCAACAGAAGAGATGATGCAGCACCGTCGCAGGAAACTCGAAGACATCGGCAGGCTCGTGGCGTAGCTCCGGAAAAGGACGCGAGAGGCAGGAACATGATGAGAAGATGCCGGCGGTGTGTCGCGACGTTGACGTCGTAGACGTGTCGTAGTCACGGCGGCGGCGGCGGCGGCGGCGGCGGCGGCGGCGTCGTCGGCAGTGGCGGCGACGATGACGACATAACTGCTGAAGCTGCAGATTTGTCGGCGGTTCTAAGGTGACGTTGAGATACCAACTGCCACAGCTGACACTAGGGTTGACGGCTGATAGAAAGGCGGCCAATCGGATGTAGAGAGGAGCACATCCGAATGCCATTTGGACAAAAGGGTTGGGCCCCACCAACGGTCTCTACTTATACTAACGGGGAATTCAAACACATATGATAAAGACTGACTACACAGTTCAATGTGGCAGGATCAGCTACAGATCAGTTTTTGAAACCTTTCTCTCTTTTTTTTTTTTTCTTTTGTTGAAAGTGGGTACGCTTGGAAAGGGATGTAAAGGCCGATTAAAAACGAGGGACGATGAGACTTGTATCGAGTGACGATGAAATTTAAGGATATGTATATATAAAAAAAGAAACAATGCGGCAAGAGTACGCCAAATGGCTCAAGAGAATGTCTGCCTCATTGCTTTGTGTTATCCAAACTCGGCACGAGGTGCAAAGTTTGGATACCGTACTTGCGATTTGTACGAAAGCATCGTGCTGAAATAATGCATATTTATCGATCTCCTATAATGATGAGGGGAAAAAGCCAAGTGACTGCGATTACTACATTACTGCTTTTTCACAAGTTACGACACTAAAAGTGTATCTCTTACAAAACCGTTCTAATTTCGCTTGAATTTAAGTGCGACACGTTCCCTCTTACCTTCTCCTCGAGCTGATTATACACAAACTCTACCACCACGTCGTCCTCCATTCCCAGAATCTGCGTGATCTTCGTCGTGATCCATGGCTTAATCACATCAAGTTTCACCTTGCTCATATCCACCTACGACCAAATACATTACAAATTCACGTTTTTCCCGGTTTCAATTTCAGTAATTGTTGTACGTACAAACTGCCTAATTTATACTACAATATTTATTAGACCCATCTCTCTGATAAAATTGCATTTAACATAATTTTTATAAATATCACGAATACAGGAATATTCCGAGTCGAAAAGAAGCATTTTGACAAAGATTCAAAGGTAATCTGCGTGTAAACAGCAAAATTTATTAAATCCAGTTAATCAAAAGTGAGCTCTACTTTCGTCAAATTTAATTCGGCCTTTTAAAATTTCAACTGTTGGAGACAAAAACTACGTTCCCGCTAGAATTACAATCGACGCAGCAGATATTAAACGTCTAAAATAAATCTATGAACAAAATATGACGCCTAGAAACTGAAAATTGTCAATTACTTTTTGTGTCAATGAATCTCCAAACTTCATTTGCTTCAGAAGTTTTTTCTCCTTGTCGCTGAACCTGGTGTCCTGCGAAGCAGTTGTCCCCTGAAAAGGAGCAAACAAGGGTAAACTTGATATACACTAGAAAAATTAGAAATAATAAATTATTAGTCTGTTAAAATATTCTCCAATTTAGGCTGAACGATCGATCCTCTCGTCAGCAAAAAAAATGTAGATTGTCTTCCAATTGTATAATTTTTCTAATCCTCGAGTTATATATATTTGTCGTACAATGTAGAAAATATTTTTCAAGTTGGATAGAAATCTTGTTCAATCCGCAGATTTCCTGAAATCAACTTGGGGAAACGATCGATCGCTCTTGGCTAGAGCGCGAGATGCCCGCGGCATTTTTGCCGCGAGCGAGGTCGAAGACCAATGGTCAGGAAATAGCGCGCCGGTGACGCGAGACCCCTTACTGTGTACATCATCTTGGCAACGTGCAGCAGGAATCCGGAGCTTGGCGAGACGAGGTACGCTCAATCGGCGAGACGCCAGTCGGCAGCTTGTCCTCTGCGACGGGAAACGAACGGATTAAACGCCCGTGATCGTGAACGCCGGCGAACGACGCCCGGGCGCGACGCACGCGATCTCACGCGAATAATTACCTCGCTGACAATCATATACGGACGCGAACTCGGGGGTTCGATCCACTAATATGGCGGTCGGTGCCCAGCCGTGCTGTCGGATCACGCAACAAGAGCGGCGCGCGCAGCGGCCGCGGTGCACGATGGTGTAGACGCGACGCACGGAAGCGATGCGGAAGCGGGACCGCCGGCGGGAAATTTCACTCGTTTCGATCCACGCCGTTGCAAACCTGTCGAAAAGGCACGAAACGATTTGCCATTTTTTGTCCAATCAGCCGCTCGAGAGATAACTCGTTCGATCATTTACGTGATTTTTTTTATCGCGAGACGCTTATTTTGCAAATTGAATACTTTCCGTCGATCTCGAATTTATCCCGCGAAATCTGTGCTTACAGCGTTTAGTCCTATGTAGTTCACTCTGCCGCAGCTTTACACTTCGAATTCGCATTAGTCGATAGACAGGAATATTAATAATAAAGCGGGATGGCTACAATACTCTGAAAAACTGAAAACTTTACAGATAAAATCTCCCACACAAAAGAACATCTTTATTAAAAAAGTACAATATAAATCACATTTTTAGGTACACACAAGTCATCTACATAAACAAATTATTTTTTCTCCATTTTACGGCTATCACAGTTAAAAATAGCAGATCATTACTGTGGGTTAAATGTATTGGAAAAAAAGTAGATACGTAGAGAGACGGGATTTACATGTGTTAATATATCGTTTCAATTATATAAAACAGCAACTCACTTTATTTTAGCTGGAAGAAATCGGTTCTCGCAGCGATATTAAAAATTACAAATTTCGTGGCGTCAACGACGACTTAATGGCAAACTACGTATGACATTTGGTTCAGGTGCGAAAACCACAGGACTTTCGTCGTGTCAACGTAAATCAATCCGAGTGCTCGTATATAGTTAGAGAGATTTAATGAAAAGATCGATATATAATATCATAACATGAAATAGGCTATTCGCTACAGCTAACATCTCCAGAATCCAACACTTCCAATTGAGGAAAGTAGCGCATCATTCTTCATTAGCTCACTTTCACCTCTCGAGTTCGCCTCCAATTTGCAGCTTGTGCCACCCGAAACTGATAAAACTTATTAAATAGTAACGTCGCTTAATCGCGATTCATGTGGGTTTTTGAATGTCATCGCAAAGTAATCGTTGGAAGAGCACAGGGCCATCTTGCTGCACATCTTTTCGCTATCCACGTGATCTTTCAGCATATTTATTATGCTCGGGCCATAAAGTTTCACCATCTTGTCACACTGCACAGATTTTCATTTCAGTTTGAAGTTATTAGTTTTTCGTTAAAAAAACCGTAAAAGAAAATATTACCTTATCTTGTTTGTCCGTTGGTAGATATTTGCACACTTTCGCAACAACTTCCTCGATCTCAGCGTCTACCTTGGAATCACCTAACAGCTTGTCAATTTGCGATATAATCGCGCGACATAAGGCACATTCAAATACGGAATCTATGGAAAAAAAATTAGGTATACAATTTTCATACAACATTAGCAAAAACTAATAATAGAAAAAAGTCCTTTATTATGAGATAGGTTGCTAATACGAGATAGCAGGTTTTTAACACATAAATTCAATCACAAATATTTTTTGGCAACGATTGCACAATCTAATTTTCCACTAAACAGATTTCGCTCCAAGGGCAATACATTCACGGTGGAATCAACTGATGATGCCTATTAATTTAACAGAAACCACGGTATCCCATATTAGGATCCTGTCTCATAATGGGGGACTCCTCTATACAATTGTCATTTCTATCACTTTACCTTGAATCTGTACCATGCTCACTTTGCAAAGACCTAGCATGCTACAGGCCTCTTTAGGAGAAACATCTTCCGCGAGAATACTTATCAAAGCGTCAGCATACTCATCCACGAACTGATTGCATTCCTTGGCAACAGTTTTTGGTAAATGATTGCACACACTGTGCACCGCATGTTCAATCTCATCCCGTGTCTTTCGATTACCAATCGCCTTATCGATGTATTGCATTGCAAATTCGCAAATTATACACACACCATCATCTAACATACTCGTGGGCTGAAGCACATGCAATGGATATTCCGGTATCTCGTTGGTTACTGAAATGTAAAATTGTGACAAATTGCTCCATTCTTCTCGCACGTCCGCGCACACATTTTAAGAAATAACTCACATATCTCTCCATCCTTCTCAGCAATGTTAATTGGTCTTGGACCAACATCTTTGGTATCATTACACAAATGAATATAATCGCATACTTCCTGAGGAGTCAAGTCTGCAAGCATCATCTCTACAAGCTCTTTGCTATACGACTTTACAAAATCTGTACATTGTTCAATCAAACTTCGTGGCAAATGACTACATAATTTATCCAATGCTGCCTCAATGTTAGCCTGTAACATTAATATCGCATGAAACAAATCGTATATAGTCATAATCGTAATATGACAAATAGCGAACTAATACCTCAGTTTTTTCGTCTTTGATAGAATTATAAATTTGCGTCACTGCAAGCAAACAGAGTGGACAAGTTGGTTTATCCCGTGCATTTTGAAGCATAAACTGCTTAGGAATTTTTTCCCACGCATCCAATATTGCCTCTGATGGGCATATACGTATCGAAGTGCAAACCTTAAAATAAAAATTATACAATAAATTAAATTTTATCGGTCCCAATGGTTCAATATAAAGATACGTTACCTTTGATGGATCTATTTCTTGGACAAGTAAGGCTATAATTGCATCTCCATAAGTGGTTATGAATTGTTGGCATTCGCCTTCAATGGAAGAAGGTATCTTTGTACAGACTTTTCCAAAAAATTCCTTTACTTCCTCCTTGAATTTTGATTAAATTGTAAGTATATGTGTGCTGTTTTGCATAAATTTACATACATACGTATACCATCATAAAACTTGACATTCATTACCTCTGTTGCAGGATTTGTAACAGTTTCTTGAACAAAATGTAACAAATATTGGCACAATGAACACGCCTCAGGTCCATCAACACTTTCGGGTTGCAGCAAAGGATAAGGCATTAATCTTTCAAGTGGCAATTGCATCTTTTCAGCTTCCAATTTTGGATATTCCTTGCCGATAGCAACCTCTTCAACCTCATCTTTTCGAGACTGTTCCTCCCTCATTATATTCAAACCTATTTCTGCTGCTTCTATTGGGACCAGAGGCTCCATAGGGCTCTATTTTAATATTAAAATATAAAACAAAAGGTAATTAGATTGTTTTATCTGCAAAATATTTCATTGCTTATAAAATGCAATAGTGTATCTTACTTGCAACGCTTTGCCAGGACTAGGACAAATTCCAGTGAGTTGACAGACGACATTGCTATCCAAGCCATTTGTAAGATATTCATAAATTTGCGAATAATACTCTTCAACTATGGCTTTACACTGGAAAATTTACTTCTATTAGTACCAGATATTTAAAATGTGACCACTTATTTAAAATACAAACCTCGTCAGCGAAAGATTTAGTTTGCTTGCAAAGACCCAAGAGAACTTCTTTAAATTCTATCTCCGTCGTGTTTGCAACTAGAAGATCCTTCAAATGACCCACAAGTTGCTCACACAACTTACATGGGAGGTCATCTCCAACTTCCACCATGCCCACACTCGACAGAGGTGTTATCTCTACTTGTGGGACCTATTATCAACAACAATTACACGTTAATGAATAATTTTTAATCGCATAAATATTATTAACCTATATGCTTTGTCACGTTAACTATTATACACTTACTGTATCTGTACTATTTGCGTGTTTATGGTATTTGCCACTGCACTGTCCCGACAAGTGACATATGTTGTCAGCGTTGAAATTGTCTTGTAGATGGTAATAAATAGCATTGAAATGGGTCATAATAATGGCCGCGCAGGAATCCGAGAAAGAACCAAATTGACCGCAAACATTCACGAATTGTACGAGCATCTTGTCCCGCGGTGTCTGATGCAATTTATCTTCCATATACTTTGCTATTGTGTAACACTTGGTGCACTCGTCAGGCTCAAGTTCATCATTCTTTAATAAAACTGACTTTGTCTCGCCCTTCTAAAAATACAATAGATACTCTTTATCAATGGCCATTTCACCGACTATACCGATACACAACTGACACTTTTTATCCACTGTTATTTACAAACGTGCAAATAAAATTCGATATAACATTTATAAGCTTTATTGTTGGGATAATTAATTACATAAAATAATGAATATGTAGGCATGCGTGATAATGTTACTGCACGCTATTTACGGAAGATTAAGCCTTACTAATCTACTCTAAATTATGCAAAAATACTCAAAAGCGATAAATGTAATATTATATGTATACAAATATCAGTAATTATTTGATAGCAATTGGCATAATTACTTAAAAAAACAGCTTTAATCAATAAATGCTTCAATAACACGAAAAGCAGATGCTGTGTAAAACAGTTTAAAACAATCCAGAACAATTAAACAAAAGATTCGATTCTCAGACTTGTTGCGTGCACTAGGAACTACCGACGTTAGAAACTTTAAATAAAAAAATACTTTAATGGAAACAGATCTGTGAAACAAATTTAACCTCGAGATAATTGATAAACAAATCATTCTTTGGAAAACAGAAATTTCAAATGATAACAATTAAAAAAAAGCACCGAATTCTTCTTCCAATATGTAGGTTGGGTTTTGTAATCTCATGTATCAAAATTGTAACGAAACAACTTGTGAAAGCTTTAATCCGCTCAAGGCCAGTGGCATGACAGAACAACAAAATATAGCTGAAATTTACCTTTACCAGAGTCGGGTGCTCTGCGAGCAATTTATCAATGTGAGCATTGTTGCAGAGTCCTGCAACGGTGCAAACGACAGACGGATTCATCTGAGATGCCAAAGACTCCACGAGTTCGGGGATAAATTGATCCACGAGGTTGATACATTCCTTGACGACTGGTTTAACGTAAATTAGTCTACAGCTTCCCTCGAAGACGTCCTTCAGGTCTTGCTGAGTCTGATTACTTTCCAATTGATCCCGCGCCTGTTTCACCATATCTTTGCAAATGCCGCATACATCATCATTATCCTCCGGAACTTCCATCCGCTCCCAGTATCGATGAATACAATGAGTGACAGCGTTGCATCCCTTGGCCGTCCTATCGTCAGCATTAGTTTAATCAGCATTGTTGTACACTTTACGGTAATATTAATTATAAAAACTTACATTAACGTAAAAGCTATCTTATCTACAAAATTTCAATTTCAATTAATCTTATCGTTATTATTGTCCGACTAATAATCGTATTGTACATTGTAAATGTGTAACTAAATGCGTATTCCAAATGTGCCTCATAAATTATTCCCAACTTTTTACTGTTTTTCAATACACAGGAAACGAGGGGATAAACCGCTGATGGCATTGTGGCATTACTGGGCATTTTTTGGGCATTCGGCCTTATAAAGATAAGATAAAGCAATGCCCACTGGGAATAAGCGGGCATTGGTGTACAAGATTTTGGTCAGCGGTTTCCCCCCTCGAAGGGGAAATACATCAGAAGATAAATGTTCTTTCAATATACATGAAATATGACAGAATATAAGTCTTTTTCGGTATACAGGAAATACATCGGAATATAAATACCATTTCTCTGAAACCTACTTTAGATTCTCGCACCAGTAACTTGGACCCCACGTACACTCGTTTCTACCTAGAAGGTCGTCCTTTGGATCGGCATTTATGACCACCGCGGCTGCGGCCACTGAAAGTAAAGACATCGCATAATTATCAATCTCGACTTCACAAGGTGAATGTTACGAAAGTTTAGAGTCGGGGAACAAAACGCTTGGCGATAGCCTCGGAGCAATACTCTCAGCTTCTCGCGAACGGTGAATAATCCTCAGGAAGCCATTCATTGCCCCGTCCAAGTTTCTAATGCCTGCCAGGGATGTATTCGCGGAACTGCACGAGCGATTCATCGTCGGACAAGACCGAATTTCGAAGCGATGTCATCTCGCGTGAAAGCACAAACACTCATCAGTCATTCGCTGATAAGCATTATCGGCGTTATTATTAAGCCAGGCATTGTTCTCATTCGCAAGGTAACGTTCAGCCGTCAAGAATCTTGTTGCATTCCGTTCCGTACCAACAAATTACACGATCAAATCAACTGAGTCATCCTATTCATCCTAATAGCTACAAGTTCCTTCGCCGTGAGTAATGGAAACGTGATTAGCCGGCAATGCGGAGGGGACGGAGAGGGAAAACGGAACCGAGCTCGTGACAAAAGAGCGAGAGAAAAGTCAGCTGGGGAGGAAGGGGGGGGGGGCGCGAGAGGACGTCGAGAAGATTCCGTCGCAGGCGCGAGAGAGAGAATGAAGACAGATAAAAGCAGCTCGACGCCGTCGCCGTCGCGTGCACCAGACGCAATAAACATCGCGGGAGCTAAAGGTCGCTCGCAGATAAAGCTAAACGCCACCACGTTTACGAACCCGAGGTACAAACATATATAGATTACGCGCGCCGCTAAACAAAAAACAATCCAGAAGTGCGGAGCGGGATTGCGTCGCGAGCGACCAAGGGCGATCGCTCGCGTCCCGTCGAGAGAGAAACGTCGACGACTCACCAGCCAGAATCGCGCCGAGCGCGAGCAGGATCGCCTTCATGCTTTCGCGACGGCCTCTCGTCACTCTCCGGCAGTCCCACGGGGCGATCTCGGGCGGACACGAATTGTGCGCAGTTGGGCTGTCGCGTGGTTAGCTGCGCGATCGTTAACGACGTGAATCACGGGCACTTCCCGACCGATCGAGCGATCGATCGACCAACCAACCGCGACGACTGGAGTCTCGACGACGAATCGTCTAGGATCACTGCGGCACACTGCACTCCGCCGCTCCGCGAGCCGCCTGTCGTCGCGCTCGTGGCGCAATTCGTCGAGCTTCGGCAATGATCGGTGACGCTCGTCCACGTTCGCTGTCCCCGAGTGTCCCCGAGTTCCGACTTTGCAGTTTCGCACGCAATTCGACGGCTCCGCCGTACGGCATATACGCACTTGCGCGCACACGCCACCGAGGTGGCCAATCACGTGTCGCGCTCCGTCATGCACGTCGCACAGACCTGCCTTTGTCCAATTTTCCAAGGGTTTTCGGGGAAGGATGAAAAATGTCACTGTGTCTCGTAAGATTTGTATCCGGTCCGCCAAGAAATGTCGACGTTACAAATTTGTGACATGAAGGTATCTCGTTTTTTATAGCATTTTCGGCGATAGAACTTGGCAGTTAGCCAGTATGCTCAAGCGATGTATGGAAATAAAATGCCAGCAACTGACGTTAGCTCTTTGCTAGGAAAACGAATACAATAGGCTTGTTTCCTGTTGCTACACTGGTGGACTAGTGCAATAAATCAGAGCAAGACAAGTACCATTTTTCTCATTCTAGCTTACTGCACTAGTGCACTAGCTAGTTCACCAGTGCAGGAACAGAAAACAAGCCTAATGTTTGAATGATTCAAGTATGCAGCTGGCACAATGTTCACATGTAAGGCTTGTTTTTTTGCTCCTGCGCTGGTGAACTAGTGCAGTAAGCTAGAATGAGAAAAAATATACTTGTCTTACTCTAATTTATTGCACTAGTTTACCAGTGCAATAGCAGGAATAGAAAACAAACCTATTATCGTCGTTAGTGCACAGCTAGAGAGAGAGAGAGAGCACATCGAATGGGCATTCTGTTAACAAAGAATTAGCATACATTGTTTTCAATTTTCTAACCGATATAAACCTATTAGATCTATTACATCTGGTCAAGCACTTAATGCTAATGTTTGGATCGTGCAAATGTTTCATTTCCGACATCAAATGCTAGCAACAGCACAATAGACGACATAGTAAGATGCTAACATTTTTGTTAGCAATATGAAAGCAACTTGTGCTCACACTGGATTATCAGTTATCCCAAATATTTTTATGTATTTTATGTAGCAAAGAAAGGTTCGAGACCTCGAGTTTAAAATGAGATATACGATAGGACTGTATACATATATTTCCGGCTGGTTGGAATGAACATTTTATGTATGTATAGCTACAAAGATTTTATCCGGTCACGAATAAAGTCACATTCTGGATTATAACGATAATCCACAGTGTGACTTCATTCGCGACGAGATAATTTTATTGGGTTTTGTAACAGTGTAATTTTAATTAGGCCTGTTGCGATCGAGAAATTTCCCGTTAAACCTTATTGTGGGATGATCTATAGACTTCACATTGGAAATTTCAGGATACAAGCTTACGATCTCACGTGAAAAACATTCGCAGAATCAAAAATACAATACTTGTATAAATTATGAACATATATTAAACGGCAGATAAGATTAATTCTGAAATCTGATGAATTAAAGATAGGATGGGATAGGATTGAGCTTTTATTTCTATATCGCGTACAGTTTGAAAATGAATGTAAACCTTCGAGACTACGTTCACTCCCTGTTAAAAATATTAGATAGAATATGATAAGATTACATTAGATTGCATGCAATGTAAATTAATAAGGCTCTTCACTCCCTGTTAAAAATATTAGATAGAATATGATAAGATTACATTAGATTGCATGCAATGTAAATTAATAAGGCTCTTATTTATTTACATTGAAATTGCATGCAATCTAATGTAATCTGATCATATTCTATCTATTATTTTAAACAGAGCTCTGTACACGCTATACAAGACGATTTTATTCGAAGATCCCGCGACACAAGGCGTAACAAACTTCGCGGTATGAAACAAGTTTCCAGCTTTTATCACGATAAAATTAACGCAGATAAATGTTGAATGCGGAAACTCTGATTCGTTCCTCTCGTCATCTTTCGAACCGAGGTCTCGCTTCGTTTCAGCATCTTCGTTTCTCGCATAGCATTCCCGAGACCACGTGACGTTCTGCGTAGAAAAGTCACAATCGCTGCTGTTAAAAATAAAACCGCAAGTATAAGCGCTACGAATTGCGAAATCTAGAACGGAATATTTATGCGCGAATAGAGAGCTGTATCGCGCGATCGACGACGGGATCGACGGTGAAACGATTCGATGGCGGGATTTTTTACTCGTTTTGATTCACGTCGTTGCGATTCTGACGAAAATACACAAATCGCGATATTTTGGCGAAGCGCATGTTATCGCGCGACGCGAGCAATATTTTTTTACGAGTCGATTTTAATTGACGATAAACTGTCGATACGGAATCAGCTGCTCGGGAGATACCCGTTGTCGGATCGATCGTTTATATATTTTTTATCGCGCGACGCTTATCATGCGCATTTAACACCTTCCGTCAATTTCGATTTCGCGAGAACCGGCGCTTCACGATCCTACGCGTTTTATTTTACCAAATTTCGTCATTTGGACGCGAACGTGTCGAGGACAAACCGATAACTTAATAGATAGGAATATTAAGTGGAATAACAGGCGTCGATAATTTTAGTATAGCAATAGCATAATGCATAAGCTGGATGACGTTTCTGTGGAAATAAAAATGCGCTGCACAAGCAGTGATAACTTCTTCTTCTCATTAGTTGGATAATACATGACATGTATAGCACATAACGCAGATGCGACGTGCGTGTCCCAGATTATTTGCAGATACCGTCCCGCGGAAAACGCGTGCAGCAAGGCTGTACCTCCAACAAGTTTCCGTGGTGTAGTGGTTATCACATCCGCCTAACACGCGGAAGGTCCCCGGTTCGATCCCGGGCGGAAACATTTTTTTTCGCCGCCGTATAAATTCCATTATTGCAAAGTCGCATCGTAAATTTGTGAAAGACTCATTTTCAAAAGACACCGCGCAAACAGTTTCAACAAAATAAGAGGACAAATATTTTTTATCAGACGTATTACTTCTATTAACAAAGAAATTCTAAGTATTTGAAATTATTTCTCGGACCGGGAAGTAAACTGCAGTGATATCTTTCGAGATAACAGTCCATCATAAAAATGACACGATGCATAGATAATATTATGTAATAGTAAAATGTTACAATAATGTTTGAAACCAGTGGCATGTTGAGAAACGTAAGCGATAAGAGTGAGCAAACAGTAAGCAAACCAATCGATTACAGCTGAGAATGTTTAAGTAGTAAACAATTCTCGATTGCAATTGGTTAATTTACTTGTTGTTTATTTTACTGCTTACGCTTTTTGTTGGTGTGGACATGGTTCTTAGGCCAGTAATATGTAAAAAAAAAGATTTAAGCAGTAAGTCGACAAACTTTTAAAAATTTTTTACGTTTTGTATATTTTTGACAAGTCTCGATTGACTGATCTGTTTATTGCTGTCTTTTAAACACGTATGTTGTGTATGGTATATCAGAGCCGAGGGGGAAACCGCTGAGGGCATTGTGGTGTACAGATTTGCGGCATTACTGGGCATTACTAGGGCATTTTTTGGGCATTACGTCTTGCTGGGGCATTATAAAGATAAAATAAGATAAAATAAGATACAATAAAATAAAATAAGATAAAACAAGATAAATGAAATAAAAGAAGATAATAAGATAAAGTAATGCCCACTGGGCATTAGTGGGCATTGGTGTACAAGATTTTGGTCAGCGGTTTTCCCTTCGATCAGAGCTCGGCAAGATGCCCTATTCGACCGATACTTAGCTCTCTTCGCCTATTACTATTCCCCTTATCTCGCCGTCCCTTGCGCAGTCAGTGAGCCTCGCCAGGTATATGATACTTAATTCTATTGAATATCAAACCAAGTTTGATATTCAATAGAAACTCGAGTCGTTATCTTACACAAAGAGATTAAATATAACTTGATCTACTTACACATGTTGAATACAGTCCGGAGAATTGTGATTTAAACAAGCCTTATCGTCTGCGTTACGAAAATAGAACGTAGAAATTACATCACACAGAAAAAAAGTGTCAGATCAACTCTTACATTCTCAAATTAACGCTCTGACGTGAAATCACGAATACGAAGTAATGAAGGATATAAGAGCCAAGATAGGATGTTATTGTCTAAATACTCTAAATAATTTTTTAATTTATTGCGAAAATGTTAAAGTTTCATACAAAAATCCTAAATTAATATGAGATCACTTGCAATAGGAAAACGATACGTGCTTGTATCACAGATTAATAGACAGATTGCCATAGGCCCGGGTGAAGTCGAAACCCACTACACACTTTGCCCCTAGGTGCGAGTCCGGACTAAATATGTATATCCGATTTTATCGACAGAATTGCCTATATTTAGTCCGGACTCGCATCAAAAGGCAAAATTTGTCGATAAAATCGGATATGTTTAGTCCAAACTCGCACCTTATGCCCATTCTACACCTAGGGATGATCCTACTTGTGGCTCATCCGATACTCCCTTCTATACCTAAAGCTAATCCTACTTGCAGCTTATCCGAGGGAGTAGTATAAAGTGTAAAAGATTTACACTTTGGTTGGTTTCCAATCGTACCAAAGTACAACTACAGTGTACCCTTTTACACTTTATACTACTCCCTCGGATAAGCTGCAAGTAGGATTAGCTTTAGGTATAGAAGGGAGTATCGGATGAGCCACAAGTAGGATCATCCCTAGGTGTAGAATGGGCATTATAGGGGCACAGTCTATCGGTAAGGGGTAAAGTGTGTGGTGGTCTCGACTTCACCCGGGCCTTTATAAAATTGGTGATCTGCTATGCTCGTATCGTGTTCTCGTTAAATTTATCATTCAATGATATGTTGTACGTGAACAATTTCTGTTATAAAGCAATATTCTGAATTTACCGTATCTGCAGTTTATCAATTATCACTTGGGGCAAAGTAACATAATTACTGCACATTATACAAAATATATTTGTTATTGCATCTCATTTTTATATTTATAAAATT